TCGGATGCAACTGATCTATGGTGATGTTAAAAAGTTTTATAACTTCTACGATTAGGGGGTGAAGTGGAAGACGAAGACCAGCTGCGAGCTGCTCCTCGAAGATCACAATCTCGTCGCGACCGTGCTCCCAGGGAAAGTTACCTAGGGGAAGACTATAGACAAGGTTGCTCGGAAGCCTATACCGAACTACTAAGGTCTAGAGCCTATCTGTTGTCATCATCGATGGGCCAAAGTTATCTGGCTGCCGACCTCGGTGCGAGGTGGACGCCAGACCACCTGAGGCCTCTTGCGCCTCTCGGGGTGATTTCACCTTAGGAGGACTACGGACTGCTTCTCGACCCGAAGTAGCTTCTTCGGTGTGGCGATCTACGACCTGAGCCGAGGTCCCCACCTCGGCCCCAGCGGATTCATCGCTTCCATCTAAAAGACTATCAAAACTAAAGCTAGACATGGAAAAGATAGACATCGAATAAAAAAGGAGAGCTAGAGAAGATTCACAAAAGAGAGACCGAACTAAAAGAAGACACCGAACTRGAGAAACTGAGCTAAGGAACTTGAATGAAACCTCAGATCGAAGGCTAGCGAATTTGTGGCGAAGCAAATGAGTCTCGAACCCCCTATTTATAGCCGCTGTGTCCGAGAATCAACGGTTGAGATCGAAGCAATGCAACGGCTCCTAGGAAAACCAGCAGCGCGACCCCCAAGGTTGAAATCAGTTTAGCGCGTTTTTTGACGTTCGCGGAGTTTTTAGATTGCGTGACCTCCGCGCGTAGACTAGAGGCGACCTGGGTTATTCCTGGTTGAGCCGGGTGGCCGAACAGGTGCGACCAGCTATTCGTCTGACAAGCCACCTGGACCTCGGGCCAAATCCACTTGGACTCGTCATGAACTCTCCGCACCGGGTCAGGACCCCTGGCTCAGGGAGTGGGGGTAATTGATGAAGGGTGATTTGGCCCGACCTAGTAAAGAGGGGATACGTAGACACGACCTAACCAAGAGATGACAACTCAGCTTGACATGACCAGTCCGCAACAGATCGAGCTCGGATATCCAACCACCTCGGGATAAAGTGACCTCGCGACAAGGTTACCTCGGGACGAGATCGCAATAGGATCACCTCGATCCCAAGGCACTTCGGCATTCAACCTAGTTCGGAACTTATAGGCATTAGCTCAGGGATACCGACTCGAGACCACTAAGTGGTGATCCCGGAAATCCCTCCAACGTATTCGGAACCTCATGGGATCACGCCGCGTAACAACTAGCATTATCTCCTCCCTGCCCGATTCAGGCGGAATTGATAAGCCTTATCGATTGGCAACGTTATCTTCCAATTAACAAGGAAACGGATCACATCGTGACAAAGATCCCAAAACCGATCCGCAAAACCCACGAGGATTCAACTATATAAAGGGTCCACCCCCGATGGCTGAAGGTACACGTGATTTCTCAGCTCTCTAGCTCTCTATATTCTCAAAGCAATTTTCAACTTGCAACAACCTACTAATTTAAGCATCGAAGCGACCTCGCCGGGTTAGCCACCCCGGGTTCTCTGATCTTATTTTGCAGATCCGCTTAGCTCGCCGTCCGACTGGAAGCCAGATCATCCTCCAGCAGGGAACAGTCAGATTGTGCTACATCAGTGACCTTCATACCTCTCTTTCAATCCTCGAAAGATGCTGATTGTGTCTGCAACACTGGGCTCTGGAACGTAAACTTGCTAGAATTCTCTCCCAAAAGCAGCATCCTTTTCCTGTACTCTTCAAGGGTAGTTGCACCAATGCATGCACCTCAGCTGGCCTCTCTCAAGCATTGGCTTGAACAAATTAGCTGCATCCATGGAACACTCAGTTCGACCAGCTTCAAGAACCAGATGGATCTCATCAATGAAGAGAATTACTTTCCCTTCTTTGACCTCTTTCAATACAACTTTCAACCTCTCCTCATATTCTCCTCTGTATTTGGCTCCAGCCACAAGGGCACCCATATCCAAAGCATTAGTCTCACATCTAAAAGATTGCTTGGGACATCTCCTGTGACGATTCTTTGAGCCAGTCCTTCCACCACAACAATCTTACCCACACCAGGCTCTCCAATCAAAACTGGATTGTTCTTTGTTCTTCTAGAGAGAATCCTTATCACTCTCCGAATCTCTTCGTCTCTACCAATGACTGGGTCTAGCTTCCCAGCCTGCTCAACGAGGTCATGACCATAAGTCTTCAATGCCTGAAAATTGGCGTTGCCGGAAGCACTTTCAACCTTCCTCCTTCCTTCCCTCGTAGCTTCTCAACCTCTGATTTCACTCTTGCCGCACTAACCCTAGCCTCCTTGAGGAGATCTCCGATTTGGGAATCCTCAAAAAGACCAAGAATTAACTGATCAACGGTAAGATGGGTATCGCCACGAGATTTCTATGACGATTGGGCTCGCCTTATTACCTTAATCAAAGAAGTGCTTGCAGGGATTTCATCCGGGGCAAGATGCTGAGACGGAATTTTCTTCATGGCTTGATTGACGACTCGTTCAAAGGAGTTCACGGCCTCATCACCACCAACACTGGTGACTGCTTGTCGGAGGATGCCATTTGGGTCAGTTATCGATGCGACAGCCATGTGAATTGGAGTAAACTGTGCATGGCCAGAGTTCATTGCCAGTTCATGAGCCCCAGTAATGGCCTCGCTTGTTTTGTGAGTGAACTTGTTTAATAGGCCGATGTTGACAAGATGAAGTAACAAGAAAACAGAAGGTAGAAGAATCATACCCTCAAACATTTTTCAGTCAAAAAATGTTTAACAGGCCGACTCACCATTCTGGTCATTAAACTTTAACGGTATTCTAACCGATGATGAGTTTTAGAAAATCAAATCTCATTGACAGGGTGAGTTTTGGATGTTTTAAAAAGTCGTGGTGAATTTAGAATTAGTAAAAAGTGATGGTGGGTTTTGGACAATTTCCCTAATTTAAATAAGCTTATAATTATTCATTGTAAATTGATTACCACTTAAACGAGACATAATCTGGTAAAATATAAATATCAGTCTCTAATGAAATATTTTTTTTTCTTTTTTGTCAGGACGAGTTTTTTCTAAGTGGGAGCAAGAGTATTAGAGTGATTCAGAGGTCAGAGGAGAGAGTCGTCCATGGAACAGTAAGCTACCTCTATGCTGGAGAGTCTTATGATATATTCCGTTTCCTGCAATATATTGTTTATTATTTGATTTACTTTAGGGGGTGTTCTTTTGCTGGATTTTGAGAGGGGGAAAATTGGTTAATGGGATTTTAATTTCCATTGACCAAAAATTCTATGTTCTCTTTTCAGATTTATGTGGGGATCAGGGAAGTTTATTTTCCTCGGTACCCATATCTTAAGTGGGTAAATAGCTTTTGCATCTTGGGGAAAGTTGCGAATATTTGAAAGGGGCAAAAATGTCCCTTATAATAATGGRTTTTTATGAATAAAATGGCCATTACTTTATTTACATGGAAAATGAAAGAACATGGGTAAAATAAATCTTTCCAGGAAAGATTAACCTTGATAAGTGCATTTACCCAGATAAATAACTTACTGAAATGTAAAGGAGCCTTAATAATGTATCCTATTGAAGTATCAAGGATGGACTGAGATTCATGATATCTTCATTTGCTTGAGTATTTTAGATGGTATTTATTAAAGCTCTGAGTCCAAGGCCTAATTGAATTAATCTCAAATTGGCAGCTAGCCTTTTGGACAGGTGAAAGTTTGCAATGAGGCGACACTCTTGCAACTTGATTTGCGGAAATATAAGATAAAATATTAGATTATTAACCAGTTTTGCAGCTTGATTTGCTTCTTCTAAATACGTGATAGTACTTGTAATGAGGCGACACTCTTTGGTTCAAAAGCTAATTCGGTGGTATAGCCTGTAGGGTTGCCAATTGGACTGGATTTGGTCCAACACGATCCAGTCCAATGTGAGTCCATTATAAATGGATCAGGTTCAATCCAGTCTAATGAATGTTTTGGATCAATTTGGACCGGTCCAATTCAATGTTTGGACCATTAATCTGTTCAAATTTATTTTGATTTAGATTGGTTTCAACCCAAACTCAGTCCATTGACACATATATTCTTATCTTATATCAATGAACCAGATATTGACTTAATCCAACCCAATTCAATATAAATTTATTATGGACGGACCAGTTCTAATCCAATCTAATAAATATTTTGGACCGGATTAGTCTAATCCAATATGTCTTATTGGTCCGTCCAATCCATCCAAAATAATTTTGGAGTGGATGGGGTCCAATCCAAAACCGGTCCATTGACACCCTTAGTTATAGGAATTGCTTGGTGATATTAGAATGGTGTAAGAAATTGAGATCAGCCTCTATCTCTTGTTGATGGACTAAATTTCACCCCACTAAAACTCTGTCATATGTATCCAAAACAAACTATTAAAATCCTTGCGCAAACCTCTTTCACATGAGCAGGTCAAAGTATCTAAGTCATGTATCTAAATTTCACCCCCACTAAAACTCTGTCATGTATCTAAGTCAGCAGCCTCACATGAGTGGCTATGACCTATGGCACACAGGTTAGCATTTTTTGATTCCAAATAGTCCTCCTTGAAATCTTTTCAAGTTGCTGAAAATTTAACCATGTGGGGAGTGCAACAATCTTCCAAGTGGTTATAGCCTATGGCACACTACAGGAATAGGAAGAAGACGTATGAACGAGAGAGAGAGAGTGCCACCAGACAATTGTCTCTTGCCACTGGTGGCTGCGTCGTTCACGGAGGCGCCGGTGTAGAGTGACGGCACCGGTGAGCTGTTGTGCTAGGATTCATGAGGAGGAGATAGGGAGGGGGAGTTCAAAATGAATGTAAAATGGATGGTTGAACCGGACCGGACTCCATCGGTTGACGACCAAACCTCTGTTAACGTTACCCATCCTGCGCCCAATCGATGTGGTCTAACGTGATTGATGGGTTGACGCGTCCAATGCATCCATCGGTGCACAGAACGCGGACTCCTAAACAAACACACCCTGTGTACGTTATTCGTTCGACCATTTAGCATTCGAACCTTAAAAGCTTCCTGGTAATACAAATCGGAGGAAAAAAATTAAATTCGTTAAAAATAAAAGGGAAAATTAAGCTTCAGAACGAAAACACTTCTCATCTTCCGCGAAGGAATCTTCACTACTCCCTCCCTCTCGATCATCAAATCCAACGGGGACTCTGATTGCTCTATGAACACTTTGAATCTCACCGTAGCTTCCTTCTTATTCATGAGAGAAAGGTTCGCTGGCTGACGCTTTCTGAGTTTCAGACAGACACAGAGATCGACCATGGGTCAGGCCTTTCGTAAGCTCTTCGATACCTTCTTTGGAAACTCCGAGATGAGGGTACGTTTCTCGAATTTCATGTTCGCTTTCCTCCGTCAATTTTGTTTTCCACTTTTGATTCTGTTCACTACTTTTTCTTAGGTTTTGAATGATCAGTTGAATTCGTTAATCTTACTCCTCGAGGATTTGAAGTATTTGTTTTGTAATCAGACATAATTTCAGATGACGAGGAACACAATAATACGAATTAAACCAGTGAAAATCTCCCTATTTAATTACTAGTATGCATTTATTGCTCTATACGTCTTTTCCTTTTCTTCCTTTTTAGTGGGTACTTGTGAGAATAGTAATTTACTTAGAACCTCTTTTACCTGTCTGAATCCGTGCTTTGTGATTGTGGGTGGACAAGTTGTTAGTGCATTAAACGGTGAGATGGGTTTTGAGCTTAGGTCTTTAGTGTCAATGTTCACAATGAATTTTGTTTTTCTCGGTTTTCCTTGGTAATTATGCTTCCCAAGGCCAGGGACTTYTAATATATCTTTTTGTTCATCTTTATACATGGTTTGATCTTGTTAACTATCAAAGAAGAAAGGAGAGCTTCTACCATGGTTAGGTTCTCTTGCTGCTCTACTTTCTGCCATAGCATTCTCTGGATTCATAATACCAAACCCTCTGTATTTGCATGATCGTGCGTGGGCCTGTAGGAGGTGAGCTCATAGTAAGCAAGAGGACTGAGGAGACACCATATTTAACAAAGCTAGTTACATATTGCCTAATGAACCAACCCAACTTGACCTAATTGGGTTGGATTGGCCTGGGTTCCAGTTGGTCCATCCGTGCCTCCCCCGCCCCCAGTGGCTATTTCTTCCATTCTTACCTTGCTATTTAAGATTGCTTACAATTTTAATGTGGTTAGAAAGCTAAAATCTTTCCATACTAGTTTTTTTTTTTTGAGTAAAGTTTAACCGAATTTCATTATAGAAAGAAAAAGTACATGAGAGGATGTACATAGCCAGGGTTTGAGCCCCAAAGCTTACAAAGGAGGAATTCTATCACTATACAGCTCTTCCAGAAATACACCCCAGTTGGCTAATCCATCTGCCATGTGATTTAGTTCCCTAGGAATCCAAGTTTGTCTTGCATTTAGACAGTTCAGGAAGTCTCTAGCCATACTAGTTTTTATTACCATATTTTGTTTTATTCACTTTTTCCTTTGGTTTGTCTGTTTTCATTCATGCTGTTCCTTACAAATTTCAGTGCATCTCCATTCTACTGGTGTTCTGATCTTTTCCGTAATACTTCTGTTGACTTTATTTGTATTTTTTTGCCTCATCTGCCTTTTGTTTTTGTTGAATTTGTTACTTAGAATATTATGCATATTTTATTCTTGTCTCCAACAATATTATGGTCATTTTCCTGCCTTTATTTTGTGCATGTTTTGTTCGTAAGTTTGATGGTTCTCTTTTATTTATGTTTCTAATTTCTTCTGGTTTAGGTTGTAATGCTTGGTCTGGATGCTGCTGGTAAAACAACCATACTGTACAAACTTCACATTGGAGAAGTTTTATCAACCGTTCCAACAATAGGTAGGTCGGGCTGACAATACAATCTGATTTGCTGCCATAGATTTGCATTTTGTTTGCTAATTTGAGGTAATTCTATTAGATTGATGATTTGGTAGGAAAAAAAAGCTTTTTGGATGTATATATTTCCATGTCCACCTAGTCTTTGTTTTCTTGCTTATCTGGCTTCCTTTTGGCTTCACTTGATTTGTATTGCAGTTGACTTGGTTCATTGGTTGAACATATAGAACAGGGGAAAAATCCAGGATTTGGTTTCTTGCAGAAGCCAAAATAACAGCAGAAGTCAAGTTCTGAAGAATTCTACCTTCTTTTAATTTGTTATTTACTCGATATCATCATCTAAGCCTTATTCCTACTATATGGGGTCTTGTTATTTACTCGATATAGAGGATGAATATTGCTGAGAATGTTTAGGAAATTAAATTATGTAAAATCAGGATTACATTGAAACCATGAATATTGTTGACACACGCACTCGCACAACCCCCCCCCCCCCCAAATATATAAATCTGTGGTGGTGCATGAGTGCATCCACTGTACCATGCAACAAAAGACGTGATTGGTTGAACATGATGGTTAAGTACACCTTGTTAAATGTGGAAGTACACTTTGTGAAACGTGACCAGTGAAAAGTAAGCAGACTTTAATGTGATTGGTTGATATCTAGATTTAACGTGCAGCTAAGAAAGTAATATTGTGGAGACGTCTCACATAAATAATATTTTATTGCATATATTATGATTTTTAGTATTATTTTTAAAATTCACAGAACTATATAAGTATGTCAAAATAAATAGTTAAATTATTTTTACAATTGACAAGTTAAACTTACAGCCTTGCCCATTTGCCATGTGGTTGTTTTTCAGTGTTTTCTTAATTTTAATGTTGATTTGAAAAGATCCAACAAAGAATTGATCATAATTATGTGTAAATTGGAAAATACAAATACTAGAGTGCCCTATTGGACAGTTTAAATGGTTGGACAATTGTTATATAGAGCCGTTTAAAGTGAGGATTTGTAACTTTGGAGAGTTGATGCAGTGGCTATTTTGGTAAATCTGCCTGATTTGCACTGTAGCTGAGCCCAAAATGTATTTGGAGGGTCAGTCATGTTCATGACTCCCCTCCAAAGGTGGGGTATCCATGCAACACTGCTTTGAGGATTTATATTGGTGTCTCTTTTATTCTTGAGGTATTTCACATGTCTTTCTTTAATTTAAGCATATGCTTGGTAAAGGAAAAAGAAAAGAAAAAATACTAGCTTGTATGTCGAGGCTTATGCTATCTGAAACCCTCTTATGTTTTCTTATAGTCGTTTTTTGGATGTTATTGAAATGAAATGATCTCATYGTGGGTTTCCTTCCCAGTTTAGAGCGCATATTAACCATCTAAATTGGAGCTGCTTCTGCAATAACAAAATGTTTTTTTTTAAGAATTTCTAGGTACAATTGATGTTTAATCCAGATACTAGCAGTGGCTTACAAACAGGAGATCCCCTTCACATAGAAGTCCAAAACATTTATTCCTTTTTACCCCTTTCCTGGCTATAGAATCAGCCAAGCTATTTGCAGATCTCTGAATCCAATTAAATATTGCATTCAATGCTCTTGAAAGGTGCCCGATCTCCCTCATACTTTGTTTGAACAACCATGATGCCAGGTTGTAATTTTGCATCCATCTTATTGCAGTGCTTGAGTGCCCTTCCACTTGCAAGTTTAAGATGTTGAGTGATCAACAATATCTTAGTCCATAGAGTTAAGCTGAGAGCTTTTCTTTAAATGAGTTGTAATGGCCTATAGGTCCTGAATATGTGGCTACATTAGCTCCATCATGACATCTGAAAACATCCCCTACACCTGGAGGCCCTAGGTCCCTAGGTTGCTGAGGCTGCAGCCATCAAAGTTGAGCCAGGTGGAGTCCAACAGTAGAGAGATAATTGAACTATAGATGATGAATTATCTAATAGCCCCCACCCCCTTGACATGTCATCTACTGTGAAATGATTAAATATGTTAGAGGTTTTCAACCTATTTGCCGCCCTAATCAGAATCTTTTCTTGTAGGCATTCCTTTGCTTTGTTTTCTTCTTTAAAGATTTTTGGAGTTCTTTCTTCCTACACCATCCAAAAGATGGCTGCCCTGATACACCTCCACATCATCTTACCTCTTTTCCTTCTTGGATTGAAGAAACTCTTTTCAAAATTCAAATAAATTTTGAATGCCYCTCTGAGCAGTCCACTTGCAGCCAAATGGATTAAAAGCAAACTCCCAAATACTAGAGGCATAGTGACAGGAATTTAGTAGCTTGAATGTAGTTTCATCACTTGCCATGCATGGAGAACAAACATTAGGGGATAAACACTAATTTGACCTTCTCTTTTGGAGGACATCAAGTATGTTTATCTTTTTCTGGTAAACTTCCCAACAGAAAGCTCAAATCTTTTGAGAGGTGGGCCCAACCAGATTTCTCTAACTGGGAACTCTCTTGAGAGGGTAACTGCAGGGACTAAGGGTCAAAAGAAATAGGCACAAGAGAATAAGCTAGAAGAGCAAGGAGTCCAAATTCTACTATCAGGTGCTTGAATCCAAATGGTTACCTTCCAAGGATTGAATAAGGGCTGCAACTTCATTTGTTTCCCAATCTCTTAACTTCTAAGGCCTAGATTCCACTGCAAACCTGATGGGCCTAGATTCCACTGCAAACCTGATGGGCAATTGGATATACATTGAGATACTCTTTTGTTTTTTTTCCAGGAAAGGTTGTAGATGCAAGGAAATTTCTTTTTTAAAGTTGTATCCCCCACCATAAGTCCTCCCAAAATCTGGTCCTAATCCCATTGGAAACATGAATACCTAATCAAAGATAGAGGACTAGAGACAACAGAGATGGATTTCCACAGAGAGGCTAGGGAAGCTGAAGCTCTCATAGGTTCCTTTGCATCCCACCCAGTAGTTGCCAATCCATAGATGCTTTTAATGACAAAGTGCAAAAGCTTGTTTTCTCCTAATGGAAATCTCCACAGCCACTTTCCCAACAGTGAAGTAGTTTTCTTGACATCATGTTTAAGAATGGCGAGCCCTGCATCTGAGTTTCCTGATAAAAATTATGGCACTGAAATGCACAGATGGTTCTTAGGCATGCTTTTCCAGTATTGAATTTTTTTTTTTGTCATCCAAGTTGGAGATCTCATTCAGATGGATACCTCAATAAAAAATCCCTAGTAGGGGTGTAAATGGAGCAGATTTGAATCGAAGCAAGATTCAAATTCAACTGATTAATAATAATAATATACTTTATACTACTACTACTACTACTACTACTTTGGCCTTGCTGTATACATAAATGGTTACCTCCTCTGATTTACCTGTAGGTTGGGCATCCAATTTAATGTTAAGGCTGGGGCCTAGATAGCTTGAAATGATGAAATCATAGTCATTGAAGTCTATTCTGGATTGTACAATTGACTTTTTTTTGGTGTGTTTTTGTAGGTTTCAATGTTGAGAAAGTTCAGTATAAAAATGTGATATTCACAGTGTGGGATGTAGGTGGACAGGAGAAACTTAGGCCACTCTGGAGGCATTACTTTAGCAACACAGATGCACTGGTAATTGTTAATATTTTATTTTAGATATCTGGATATGGGTTATTGCCAATCACTTGTTTCAGTTATTGTGTTTATGTTATATCTTGCAGTTATTCTAATGGTTTTCTGGTAGCTGCTAAATTCATTTCTGTAATATTAATTGGGGAACAGAATTATAAAAAAATACTAGTTTGGGAATAGAGTTAGGATGGAAGCCCTTGAGACTTTGTTTACATTGGTTGCAAAAGCCCGAAGTTCCTTTTTATTTTGTATAACCAACAGGCCACACAGCTTTGCATACAATCTGATCATGCAGCTAACGTTTATACTTAATTGATTATAAATGCAGTATCTTTCTCACTTAATGTATGCAACTAATGTTTTGTTTTATTTTATGTTGCTTTGTTTTTTAATTGGGGGAGGTTTGGTGATTAAAGGTTTAGAATTAGTGTGTTAATATATTCTGTATTTGCAGATCTATGTAGTTGATTCATTGGACAGAGAGAGAATTGGGAAGGCAAAGACTGAGTTTCAGGTTCTATATTCTTCATTAATATTTTGATTCCGTTTATCTTCTTCCGACTATAGCTTTCTTACTCAATCAAATTACTTGCTTTCAGACCATCATCAATGACCCCTTCATGCTGAACAGTGTCATCCTGGTTTTCGCAAATAAACAGGACATGGTCTGTTGAGTTCTTTTTTTCTCTCTTTCTTTTAAATAATTTCCCCTTAAATACATGGACAAGAAAAAWTGCACTTGTGAGTTCAGATTCAGGTATAAAACAATTTCACATACCCAATATGTTTATTAATAAGATATATCCTTGTCTATCAACTTGCAATAATATCCTTTAACCCGTCATTTGTCTTTCTTGAGGGGAAATAATTGATTAAGTTTCCATCTCAAAAATGCATTCTCACAAAGGAAAAGGACAAAACTATTGCCATGTGGCCTTTTTTTCCCAACCACACAGTGAAGAACTTTAGAAGCCTCTTTTTACTTAATTACGATATTATTGCAGGTTGTGGTGTTTATGTTTCTTGATTTGTTTAATTGTGTTTTTTTAATACATCAACTTTGGTGTTTTTTCTCATTTCAGCATCAAAAATGCTTTTAGAATTTGGAGTGAATAAGAAGATTAATCAAGTTGTTTTTATTAGTTGGACTTTTATTTATATACATTAGGTGCTAATTTTTTTTTGATTCCTAGCATCAGCATTTTTTTTTTTTTGTTTTTTTCCCGTATCAGTAAATTTCATCATCATGATATTAATAGAACCATTGTGCAAGTACCTAGTTTTAGCATGGTTTCCCATTATCAGATTTTAGACCTATTAATTTTAATTGTGTCCTGGTAATGCTGGTAGATGCTAATTTATTTTCTGTAAAAGAAAGGGACAAAAACCAGAGTTTGTCGCCAGAATCCTTGAGATTGGAATATACAAGAGTCCATGTATTCACTTGGTTATTTATTTGCTGGAATTTCTTTCTCTGATTAGAAAGGCGCAATGTCCCCAATGGAGGTGTGCCAAGGGTTGGGTCTCTATGATGTGAAGAACAGAAAATGGCATATTCAAGGTACTTGTGCACTTAGAGGAGATGGCCTTTATGAGGGTTTGGATTGGCTATCTGGAACTCTCAAGGAATTAAAGGCCAGTAGGTCCTCCGCTTCAGTCAGCACATCTTTCTAAAATTCCCATGTGAGCTTTCCAATGTTCTGATTCCATATTTTCCTGTAACCTCTTTTTTTTTTTTCTCGTCTTACCGACACTTTTCTCTGCAGCTTTGTAGTTCAGGTTCAGGTAATCTGCCTTCAGACGAAGCCTGGGTAAGCTGTAGTGCCAACTAACTGATACTAGAAAATCACATTACATGGTTTTGTAATCATGTTTAAAGCTAATGAAGTTCTATCATCAAACTCTGACCTGCTGCTGCTTTCRAAGCTCCAAGTTTATTTCATGGTATAGAAACATTAATGGGGGGCTACAAATTCACGAAGATTAACTGGACTTCTGCTGATGTATTCTTGGATGTTCCCTGTAATACTCGTGTATACTACTTGGGAATTGTTGAAATTTTTTATTTGGGTTCCTTTAGCCCATAATAGCCTTGGAATATGGAAATGTGTTTTAACTGCAGCAGTACAGATTTTAGTTAAGAGTACTCTGGATTTCATTCTTTCATTTTTTATCCATTGAATTGTTGGACGTAACTGCAAGTAATTTGATCAGAATGTTGAAAGGGGTGCGGGGGGTATCTTCCAGTTTTGTCAAACATGGACCGGACGGGATGGTTGAACCATCAGAAGTGGGAGCCAAAGTGGTTTTTGGGCTGTTTGGTCTCAGAAATGTTTACCGACTTTAATCTTATTTTAACAAAAAAATTCAAGACGACCTTTGCTTTTTTTCAACCTTTTTAAAAATTGAATGGTCGGTCCTTTCAATCTTCTGATACTTCAATTAGTATCCCACCCACCATTAGTTTCATTACTTGCAAAAATTATCCATCAGAGTCAATTTTTTTTTACCGTGTTTGGGTCCCAATTCCCAAAGCCCATCTTAATTGCAAGGGCAATTAAGTCATTCTACCACTAGAGGCTAGAGAGAGATTTTTATAGTTTCCTATTGAGAAAACGGATAAACAAGATCGCTAGCGCTGGTCTTTGAACCTGACGTCGGAGAGAGATGGCGGTGGCAATGACTGCCCTCAGCTTTAGCCTCTCCTCGGTCCGTCCGGGATCTGACGCCAGAACCCACCGCCGCGTGGGCGGTGGAGGGCGAATAAAATCGGGAAGCACGATGAAGGTAAAGGCGATGAGGATAGAGAAGCCACTAGAAGAGCTGTACAACGTGGGAGTGGAGAGAGGGGTGTCAGCGCAGCGGCTGGAGGAGTTAGGAGTGCAGCGGTGGTCGGTCTGGAAAACGGGAAAGTGCAGATTGCCGTGGGACTGGCATGTGGACCAGCTGGTCTACATCGAAGAAGGGGAAGTGAGGGTGGTTCCCGAAGGGAGCGAGAGGTTCATGCGGTTCGTGAAGGGAGACYTGGTTCGGTACCCTAAATGGTTCGAGGCCGATCTCTACTTCAACGGCTTCTACCAGGAGCGTTACCGGTTCCGTGCCTACGGCGACGATTAGTGCTTGCTAGGTTTTTATTTTAAGACTTTCCCTGCTCTCACAAACTGCTTCTGTTCTTGCTAAGGATTTGTTTTGGGGTGCTGGGCTTTGTTTGGAGAGTTGAGTCTCGTTGTATTTTGCTTTTGATTCTTCTCTCTACTTGTTCTGTGTGGATAAAGTAATCACCGTGGACGCATGCGGAACCTCTCTCTCCCTCTCTRCAATGACCTCGTATAGAAATGAAAGTTAACTTTGCAGGCTTTTGCATTCGACCCAGTCTAAGGAACTTGAAGTATTTAGCTCAAAAACCAGTGTAATTGAAGGAATTTAAGTGATAAATCAGAGATGCCTCACCCTAAACGATGGCCGGAGTTTGCATAATTCAACAACTTAGAAACCCAAGGGCAACCTTATAATAAGAAAATTTTTGACAAGAATGATGAGCAAACTTCTCAATTTACCTCTAACAGATAAATTTAGTTGGATTTTTATTCTAATACAAACTAACTAGAAGATCTAAAGAGAAATGGAAACGATAGAAAAGGCTGGAAGTTACTAATGTAGTCTAGACCTGTAGTAGCAATCACCTTTAGGGTAGGAGTTTGATTTCGATTTTTGAATCCTCAGTAACAAAATATGCAGAGAGGAAAAGAGCATCCTCCATTTCCCTGGAGAAATGAAAGAGTGCCATTTTCTCAACTGGAATTTTTGCAATGGCCTGAATTCTCTCCTTTAATTTGGCAACAGTCAATGCTTCTTCCACTTCTACGCTAAGCTCTTCTGTTGGTGTCTTAGCTACAATGGGGAATGTGTAGCCCAGAGATACACGTTCATAGTTGAGAATGATGGTTGCCCCATCTTCAATATCATAGAATTCCATATCTCTATCATCTCGTACTTCAGATCCATAAAGCCAAAGGGATTGACGAGCCACCCCAGCACCAGAAATCTGCTCCATCTTCTGCTTAACTTCAAGGAAAGTCATAGATGGTGTCACTTCAATTTGGTAAGTATGCCGCTCCTGAGTTCTAATGGTGATATGCATTGCTCTGCCAAGGTACAAAATACTGAAAATAGGTCTAGCAACTCAATTAGGACAATGATCAAACAGATGGTGCTCCTTTTGTTGTTCATTTTCTGGGATCTGAGTTTTTTTATAGGATAAAACTCATGCTAAACATGTAGATCAATCAAATTCATGTTCTGATTGTGAATCTGAGGACATGGTCATGACCTTTTGGTTTGTTACTTTGTTTCATCATCTGAAGGGCTTAAGGGAGACTAACAGGAAAAAAAAAAGGTGGTGAGGGCAGAAAATTAGATGCCCAATACAGGTCCAACGTCCAAGTTCAGCCTCCTCCATTGAGCAACTAAAAACTGCAAAGAAACCACAACAAACACGCAGTGCAGCGAGTGAATAGAATGTAAAACATATGATACCCTTTCATTTCGTATGTCCCATCTATACTCAAAATGGTCCCCCGGCCCCTCCCTACGGTAAGAATTCAAATCATRTAAGTATTTCAATTCGAATCAAATTCCAAAAGTAAGACTTATCATAAAAGTGAWAATCATTCAGGTATTATTTATCAAAATTTACCCGCCGGGGGGTGTTGATTGGTCAAAGCCCAGTGTATCAGCATAGATTTTCCCTCTATATATAGGATTGGTTCAACTCAGATCTGTTGGGTTAACCCAGACCATGGGAAGCCCTAATCTTTAGTTAAAAGGGTTT